AGCCCCTTCCCAAGTCCCTTCATCCCCTCAGGGCCTCTGAACTCTTTCCCCTTGAAGCTGAGGGAAGCCCTGGAGAAGCGCTTTCCCACGGTCACAGCCTCAACAAACCCCTGCCCCCTTCTCCTTTGACTGCAGCCACCTCAGTCTCACCCTCCGCAGGCAGAATGCAGGCCCACTCCATCACTGAAGGGCCTCCTCCTTGGACCAGGGCGCCTGCTTCTGCCAGTGGCATCATCACCCCACTCCTCAGCCGCCAGTCATCAGGTTGGCAATTAGCTACTTCCTCTCAGCTGCATGAGGCCACCAAACGTCACAGCCCCTCCCCTGGCCTGTCACGGCGGGAGTGCTGGGTGCTGCCCCCTACCCTTTGTAGTCAGTGCCAAGTCCTGGCTCAGTCCCCCTTCCCTACAACCTACTGAGTGCTAGGGCAATGAGCCTCCCATCTGGAGAGCTGAAAGCCTCGCTGCTTTCTCCCCGCTTCAAACCTCCTCCCCCATGTCACCCTATCCCATTGGGTGAGGACACTCCTGCTGCCTGGGTGGGGTGATGCCTGCTCAAGGGCACTAGCAGCCTGGGTGGGGCTTGAGACTCAGGTGTCTCTGTTCCCAGTCAGAGGCGGTTTTCACCAGCCCCTTACCTGGGGCCCAGGAGTCTGAACTGAAGTTGGTGGCAGTTATTTGGGAAGGGGAGAGAAGTGGGGACTCATTCTACAGACCCCCAAACATGCAGGGGGCAGGCCCTTCATGAACACCCACATGGGCTCATTCGCCTGTGCCTAGGCACACACAGTCACAACCTAGGCAATGTATATTCCACCGCAGCGTGCCCGCATGTGCCCCAGGTGGGCAAGTAAGCCCACTTGTCCAGACACCCCTCATGCCCACACAGCCCTCCTCCAGCTGCGTGCATGCAAGCCCACTGGCATACAGTACTCAAAAAGGCAGTGAGCGTGCTGCCACTCCAAAAACAAAATTGGGACCCCACAGAGGAATCTAGAAGCATGGGAGGGGAGGAGAGACCACCCCAACACTTGCTACCCCACAGACCAGGGAATCTTCCTGGGGAAGGATGGGAGGAAGACTACACTTCAAGGATATGTGTGGGGTGCGCAGGTGGGCCGTGGTGGGAGCAGTTGTGTTTGAGTCTGGGTGGGGGCAGAGGATCTGGATTTCCAGAGAGAACTGAAAAATTCCAACATGTATAAACAAAGGCATGGAATCTTAGGCAGATCGCTTAACTCCCTGGGGCCTCAGTGACTGCATCTGTAAAATGGGAATAATGAGAACACCATTTGAACTTGGTTGTCAAGTTTATTTTATTTTTATTTATTTATTTATTTTTAGAGACACGGTCTAATGTTGTCACCCTGGCTGGAGTGCAGTGGTGCAATCATGGCTCACTGCAGCCTCAACCTCCTGGGCTTAAGTGATCCTCTCACCTTAGCCTCATAAGTAGCTAGGACTACAGATGTGCCCCATCACGCCCAGCTAATTTTACAACTTTTGTAGAGATGGAGTCTTGCTGTGTTGCCCAGGCTGGTCTTGAATTCCTGGGCTCAAGCGATCTTCCTGTCTCAGCCTCCCAAAATACTGGGCTTATAGGCATGAGCCACCATACCTGGCCTGATTGTGAAATTTAAATGAGATAACCTGGCTCAGAGCAGGCCCTGAGCTGACATTACTATGGGGAGACCTTCCCAATATCCTCTCACTTGATGGTGGGCTTGCCTAAGAGAGCTGCCCTAGGGAGATAAGAAGCCCTCATTCTGGACCTTACCTGACTGACCATGTGCTCCCCCTGTTTTTCTTTGATTTCTGGGGTCCAGCCCCAGCCAAGGTGGAGGATACAGGTTGAGAGGCATGGCAGGGTATAGGGATGGGTGATTGGGTGCTCCTTTGGACTAGACTGGGGGTGGAGCTAGGGAAGGGCTGGCTACCTTCCCTGCCCCTACCTGGCTGGCACAATAGGTAAGTGAGTGCTGACTTTTATCCCTGGGAAAGGAGGAGTCAGGCAGTGTCTCTCTGTCCAGGCAAATGGGATGCAAGGGTCAGGAACATGGGTGGAGGGGGCTTCTAGGAATAGTCCTGGAAGAAGACCTGGGAACAGGCACTATTGACAGGAGCTACTGCCTGGGCCTAGCAGCCTCTACCCCAACTCAACAAATATCCTTGTCCTTCTTTCTCAGAGTCTGTAACCACCAGCTGCTCTTCCAGATTCATGAGGCAAGGCCTGCCTGCTCACCTGGCTGGCCCCAAGCACCTCTTCAACCTGCTGCCACCGTCCTGCCTCACTGCCCTTCTCAGCTCATCCAGCAGGGTCTCCAAGTCATGGAAAAAGAAGCATGTATGCACACGTGCTCATATACACATGCCCACAGCCGCATAAGCACACCCAGAAACACCATCGCAGACATGTTCTCACAAGCACATGCACGTAACACACTACCCCTCACTCGTATACACACGAATACACACACACTCATGCACACTCATAGTCTTACACACACACACACACACACACACAGAGTTATAATCACTGCTGTTGGATGAATTGTGCCCCCCACCCCCGTGCTAAAAAGGTATGTTAGAGTCCTAACCTCCAGTACCTGGGGATGTGACCATAGTTGCAAATAGAGTGTTTGTAGATATAATCAAATTAAGATGAGCTCTTACTGGATTAGAGTGGGTCCTAAATCCAGTGACTGGTGTCCTTATAAGGAGAAAAAGATTTGAAAACAGAGACATGGAGACACAGAGCGGAAGGCCATGTGATGATGGAGTCAGAGATTGGAGTGATGCAACTGCAAGCCAAGAAATACCAAGGTGCTGGAAGCCCCCAGAAACAAGGAGAGAGGCATGGAACAATCTCCATCAGAGCCTCCGGAAGAAACAGACTCTGCCAGCACC